CATTTTTGTGATGAGACGAATACAAAGTTTAGTGCATGAGAGAGTGAGACAATGTCTGTTATTTTCTGTTGGGATTTCGTTTTTGTGTTACGGCTTGGTCGAATCCTTTTTGTCTGTTATGTTTCCTGGATTGTATTGCTTTATTTGAACTTCTTAGTGTTGGGTAATGACAAACATACAAATCAAACTTCGAACATGATAATTTTTATTCTCTCCTTAGGTAGGCATTTGTTCCTTATATTTCTGGATTTTTGTCTTTTTTGAATTATTATTCACTTGCACAATATGCAAAAAAAGGGTTTGGTACATTTGAGGATACACCATGGTATTGAGACGTTACTGAAGTTTCAAGTCACCAATAAATAACACTTTGTGATAGACCTTAAGTTACAAAGCAATAACGTTACAATCAGCACGTCATGTTCCTCACCAAAACTGAATCAAGCGTCTTCACTATAATATGAGAAATAGTAATAGATAACTTGATACCAAATATGAATCGTATTAATAAACTACAAATATTATCATCTTGCTTTTTTTTTTTTTTCAGTGTTCCGATTATTTTTCAAAATCAAAAATTGGTTCAAACATCTCCGTGAAACAAACACCGTAAGAACTGGATTTTTGATATTCTTGGACATGAAAACAGGACAGAACCTCAGTAGTAGAGACAGATGAAACCGTCACAAAAACTTAAAGAAATCATACATCTCGAATAAGTAAAAGTTATCAAAACACAATATTCGTGTCACCTCATTGCTATTTTCTTAATTTCCATTTTTTTTGTATTGTATTTACTACAATTCTTATTTTCTTATTCATATTATGAAGAGGGGAATGATTATTTTTGGTTGAATTAAGTATTGATTTTAATTACCTCATTAATTTTTCGGATTTCCTTTTGAGCTAGGGTTTAAGTTTTCCTTTTCCTTCTTTGCCTCTTCTATATAAATAGAGGACTTTAAAGTGTGAAGATATCAAACAAAGTTGTTGATACACGAGTTCGACAATACATTTATTAAATAGTAAAGGGGTTCAGAAATCCTCGTTTATTGATATTGTGCTCAGAAATTGATTACAAGCAGCATAAACGGAATAAAGAATGTAAAGGATGTTGAGTTCGGAAGCTAGTAGACTGACGAACCTTGTGTAAATGAACTGACTGAATAACGAGCTCCTGAGGTCGGGAACAAAGTAGTAAGCGAATATCCTGAGATCGGGGCTGACTGACACGTATTCTGAGGTCGGACTTGGGTGATAAGTACTCTGGGATCGATGATAAGCGCGTATAAAAATCACTTTATCTGATGAATTCTTGTACGATTCCGGCGGAATGTACGAACAGAATTCTTTCTCTATTAGATTAGTTAGAGTCCAAAAAACATTTAGTTCTCTAGTTCCTTGTACTACTCCAGAAGAAGAAAAAGTGATGGGACAACTCAAGAAAGGGTCCCCTTTTTATATTAGAATGATGAAGTACATTTATGGAGGGTTTTTTTGGAATGTGAGCTGGGCCTTTAATTCTGCCGGGCCGAGCTCGGCGAGATGAGCTTTATAATTTGTCAATTATAAGGCCCATGCCCAACAAAAGTTTCTGAGAAAATAGTCTTTGCTCCAAGTAAGAAAATCAACGAAAGAGTTTTTGATCAAATATGTCGAATCAAAAGCCGAGTTTTAGGTTTGAGATAGATATCTTCTCGAAGAAGGAATCTGCCATAAAGTCTCAGACATTCTTGAGTGGTGGATGCGAATGGTAAAACATTAGGTAATGAAGTTATATATATCTTTATATGTTTGAATTTTTTATGTTTCGTTTGTGTTTTGAACATATTCCATAAGTGTAGAAGAGGAAGCAAGTATACATAGGCATGTGACTGATAGAAGAATAATTTTAATTTTTTTTGTTTTGTTTCACAGTTGCAGAAGCAGCAAACAACTTGTTTTGCGCTAAGACTCCGGGCAGGGTTTTTGCGACCTTGCCTCTAAGCAAGTTACAGGAAAAAGGAGTTTTGGTGAATGACAAACTCATAATTGAAGTCTACATTAATGTTGTT